TACTATGTTGTTGTATTATCAAATATTACAAATTATCTCAGAAGTCATAAATGAATTATCACATTGAAAGCTCAGAGTAGATTTGATTTTATAAAATGAACAAAAAAATAAACAAAAAATTATTATTAAAAATAAATGTACACTTTTTTATGTGTTGTAGTTACAAATAAATGAAGTATAAAATAAAAACCACTCCCCGGTAAAAATTATTTAATATACACCACCTGTATGAAGTTAAACATTTAAAATAAGTTTAGTTTATATATTATTATTTATTAAATATTACTGATAATGGCGACAGGTCACAGGTGACAACGTCATAAATATTTCTAAACAAGTATATCTATAAATCGTAACGAGATTTAATTTTAATTTTTAGTAGAAAAACGATTTGTCGACGAATGGGCATATATGTATAATAATGTATACATATTACAAGATATAACATGTATACGAGTATAATAATATTATAATGTATACAYCCAAAAAATGTTAGCAATAAAAACAGGGAACACTGCAACAGCGTGAATTATTACAATAAACCTATATTTTATATTATGCATATATTAATATTAGTGCATGTGGCATACTTAAAAATAATTAAGTTAATACTTAGGACTAATATATTTAATTTTACAAGACTGTAGATTTTATMAACTACGAATCAAATGCAATACTAATAATATAATATAATACACTTCATTATATCATGCTAAATTTTTAATTGTCAGTGGTCCCGATTAAGCATTATTATAATAATAATATGTCATATACTTTATWCATATAATTATAATGCGAGTAAGATGTACAATAATATATACATATATATGTATCAGCAATTAATCGCACCACAACAATATTATTATCTTATAAATGCAGTATAATATAATTTAATATGTTTATGATTGCTGCACATTTCGTAACAAGACACTCGACCGTTGGACGATCGGCGTTTTAGCGTCACTTTATAATCCAGAACGGGTCGTGGTCATCATCGTAGTGACAATGATTCGTATCTCCGACTTTTCATATAACTACGCACAGAAATCTATGTACGCTGGTGTCGGGAGCTAAGATTGTACTATTTGTACTCACATCGTACGTATATATTATACTTAATATTAAATATACATAGATATTCAGGTGGGATGATATTTGCAATGTAATGTCATAAGACATTCATTATTACCTCTGTACATTTATTTTGGTTTTTAAATATATTTCATATACATTTTAAACGTGTTTAATAACTATAGTCCATGGACCGACTATAACAATAACAAAGCACCGTAATTTTCAAAAGAAAAATCAAATTTTTATCATAATGGTTATATGATTTTAATTTGGTGACCCATTATTACGTATAATATAATAGAAAAAATAAAAAAAATAAATATTTTGATTTTTACTATGAGCATTGAGCATGTTAAAAATTGTATTGCAACAAGGTTTGGATTATAGATAAATGGAGTCGAAGAGGATATCGGATAAAACATGTCATTCATTATGGTGTTCTATATTATAGTTATAAATTTAAATTATGACGATCAAACTATTGATTCATTATTCTATAAAAATTAAAAAGTAATCAAAAATGTATATCATGTCAATGTAGAAAATTGATGAATATGAAACATTAAAATTTATTTAGGTATGTCAAGATGTACATAGGACTGCACAATATACCAATTACCCTCGTATGGTTAGGTTAGGTATTAATATATATAAGAAACATAAGTTATKTAACATAACTATATTATTATTGTTGACGTTAAAATGTTCAACTGGAATAAATTTATATAAGTGGCAGTGTTTGWCAAATTCTTTAAAATTTACTAAAAATATTAAAATTAATGTTTTGATTTTGGGTTTTGAATTTCATGTTCAAAAACTTAAAATAGTTTATGTAGTATATATATGGTGATGACTATAATCAGTGGCGTAATTAAGACTTCGGGAGGGATTATTCATATTAAAAATAAATTAACAAGACAAAAGGTTCTCACTTTGAAATATTTGACTTTTAAAAACTTTTCAGGGTATAACAACCACCCAAAACCCTTCCACTGGTTATGTCACTAGCTATAATAATATGCATTATATATGTATACATCTATTGTATATATTAATTATATGATTTAGTGCCTATTAAGGTAAATYTATGTTTTACATCCTCAAATACGAGCAAAGTAATTAATGTAGAATCTTGAAACTTGACACTCGGCTGGTAATTATTKTAATAATAATAAAAAAATCTTATCTAAGGTGGATACTAAAATATGTATATAGTATTTCCATTGTGAAACTATCATTAAAATAGAGTGGCAAAAATAAAAATAATTCGAAAAATGTTTAGGTTTGAAAAATAAGGGTAATTTTTTATTAGATGAGAGTCTAACATGTATCAAAAAATAAATGTTATTCATGTAAGGGTTGGTCTTKTAAATTTATCAGTTCCTACTTCCTAAAATCCAATCGAATTATACCTACGTTATATGCAAGAAAAACGAAGACACTGATGTAGCGGCGATATCATTTTAATTTTATAAGCCACCCGCGGGAGTGCCAAAAAAGGTCTAATGTAGACAATGTATAATAGCTATAAAAATTAGATWTTTATAATAAACATATTCGATTTAAAACTAATGAAGCATAACCATTTCTAACTTTTCGTATTTACCTTTAGTGTTTCACAAATCTTGATTATTTTATTTTCGTCTAAGTACCAACAGGATTAATTTATCTACTTGAAGTAATCTATAACCCGTCATCAACGCATCAACGCGAAGATTGAAGTTAGTTTTACTCMTTTTAAATTTGACGTTAGACATAATTTTAAAACCAATATATTCATCGCTCCGTTCAGAATAACAGAATCTAACTTGAAATTTTATCTCGACCAATTATAATTAAATATATAATTATGACAAATTAAAATGTTCTTATGTTAATATTGGTATAAATTTACACGACGTGCCTATTATGTTGTTCTTCATAAACCAATCATATACAAAGCGCATCTGATACAACTATATAAGGTGTACAATAATTAATAAATAATTTTATAATTCTGATTGTTGATGAATCTTTGTTGTTAAAAATCAGCTTAAAATCACCTTTTAATTTAATATGTTTTGATTAGTCAACTATTGGTTATCTTAGTTTAACTTAAGCCATAATAAGGTTAAGACATTATGAATATTTAGATTTTATTGTAGATAATATGTATAATGGTATTTTGGAAAAGTTATAAAAGTATTAATCCTATTATGGCGTTTATTTTGCTTCTTTACTTTTTATTTATAAATAATAATTAATAATGGATTGAAAACAGAAAATCGACCCCCCCCCCTAAAAGAAACAAATTGAGGACTAACAGAATTAGTAGTTTATTTATTCATAGATAGCTTGTTTATGTAGTATAATTTACGTTCATATTTTATTTATAAAGACCAATGTTTATTATATAGTTGAGACATACAGATTTTGGATGATATAAAATAAAATATAAAAAATAATTACTCAAGTATTATCAAATACAGTAGCTCATCTATTTAATTAAATCGCACCATGTGTTCAATTATTCAATAGAAATCATTTTCAAACCTTCAAAACCACATGTCATTCGCATAGTAATGCTAATCATGCAAAAGCTATACTTACCCCCCATCAGTTTAAGCAGTGATATATAGGTAGATTATACCTACTGGTTTGAAATTTCACATTACTTATACGAAAATTTCTAATGTTTTAGCTAAATGAATTAAATGTCGTCATACTTAACCCATAGCTATAATATTCTAAAAATTATTTAATTTTACTGGTGTTAATAAATAATATTATTATTATTATTATTACTAATAATTTATACGTTGAGGCAACGACAGAATATAAATTTGAGTGAAGAGCTTGACATGGACTCAATAATTTTGGTGGCATTTTTTAATGACAATAACAAAATAGCTATTGGATTTATGTTTAATGTTTTAATTAAATTTATCAATAATTATTAAAAATAACTTAAAAACTTACAATATACAAACAAAACCTTATAAAAATTATGAATTTTATAAAATTCATTTCATTCATTTTTTGAATTACAAATATAAATATATTATGAATGGTATTTTTAATTTCTTTTTGCTTTTTTTAGTTATCACTAATTATTAACGTAGCAATATTKTAAACAATTTAAACATCTAAATATTATTCTAAATAATATACAGACGTTATGGACTCACAACAAAACAATATTAACAAGACGTATTCTTTACACACCTGTGATATTAAATTAATACCTAATTTTTCATTATTCTAAGTTTAAATAACACTCGTAAATAATTCTATATACCATACAAAATACTAAAATACAAGTCGACTATACGYGTCTAGCAGGCCCGTAGCCAGACCACATTTTCAGGAGGGGCAAACTGGCAAAGCACATTTTTGGGGAGACATTATATATAAAACAATATTAATGCAATTTTTAATTTACATTAATTTTACATTGACATCTCATTAAATTAACACAACTATAATTTTCCATTTAATATAGTAATATCCATTTATAATAGATTATTTTAGGAATTTACAATGAAACATTTATTTTAAAAATACAAAACGAATAATACTAAATAGTAAAAATTAAAATTAAATTAAAGTTTACGTAGATAATTATAATATTCATAACATTATTACCGATGAAAAGGTTATAAGCAATAAAATACATACCTACCTAAAACTTTTTTTAAATATTTATTAGGGGGGCAATGGCTGGGTTTAGGGGGGGGCAATGTCCCTTTTTGTTCCCCCGTGGCTACGGGCCTGGCGTCTAGTCTTTTAATATTAGGTACAAGTGACATATTTTTATCTTTTAACTTAATTAACCTTGGGTAATACTATAGCAGCATAATATACTATACTATCAGTGTATTTAAATAATTGAATCCAAAAAACCAAATAAATTACTTTCTCTACGTATATAAATATATATTTATATATTTAGTTATGTTACATATCAGTTAGATTAGTTTAACCCTTGTTTTTTTATTTTGTGACAAAATCGCGATATTTTATTGCATCAATCATTTTAAATAAAAAATAAAAAATAATCAACACCGAGTGGTGAGTAGGTATACTATATACATGCCCATCATTGTCTTTTCGTATAACTTGTATTAGCTATAAGTTATAACGTGAAAAAATATAAATGTTGACTACCATGGTAGCTGCTGACATTCTTACTCCTTTTATATTATATACAGTGACATTTCTCCTAACAGACATCTCTAGATAGCGAAAGCTCTAAGTAGAGAAAAACATTTCAGCGACCAAAAATATCTGGTATTTAGAGGATTATCTCWTCTTATATTATAATTTAAAAAAAAAACATATACATACCTACATTTATTTWAAAAATTATTCAATAACATTTACTACAGTAATTATATTAAAATCGATATTTAGAACTGTCATAACCATCAACTAGTTATCMACATGGCCCTCACAAAGGGAAATGTTGGACCTGGGGCGCCTAATTATTCTAGGGTCTCTTTGAAATGAATTTGTAATTTTTGCAATTTTGATAGAAATATTTATTTTTTAATAAATAAAATTGTATAAAGCTCTCAAAAAAATTTAGCACAGGGGCTCAAAATTTTATCTGGCAAGACCTGGATATTAATACTATATTTATTACATTATACTGATGTAACCGAACATCGAACGCTTAGTCAGGTTACTTAGTCAGTCATCACTTTGTAAGCTATATGCATATATCTTCTATAACTTTTAAGTAATATAGTACCTATACATAATATATTGCTGACTATCATAAAATATCATTAACTTCAGTGAGTCGTGATAGTTTTTCCGCATTGATGTGTACCTACTTAGTACTTATAACGATATAATATCGATGAAAAAATCGGTGCCAAATTCGTGCGAAGAATATGACATGATGGTATCTGTACGACTTTGACCCGGTCTATTTATTAGGCATACGACTTGTCGAATAAAGAGACGAATRAAATATTGCATTAATACACGATACAAGAGCAACGCGTGAGATATCGTCGACGAAATAAACGATAGTAATACAACATATATTATTATATCTCCTCTTCGAGATTTTATAACACATGCGTCGAAACTGAGATATCAAAAAGTAATAAAAAAAATGTTGATTTATACGTCATAAATGAGAAAATTGAAAAAATCTCTTTTCCCCTGGACGTACTTAGCTATAYGTGTACCCATACAGCAGATAGGATATTATAATTATGTATAAAGTTGAATTTTAAATTGAATTTCGATTTCAATGATCATAAYGACACAAGGTTGCGTTATCCCAAATAGCTAATGAACCAGTAATGATAGACATTACCGTCCTTTACCGCTGCACTAGCAKGCTATACAGTTGCAGGCGGTCAGGTAAAGTCATCAGACAGAATACGACACGGCCTACAATACGTCTCTGTTCGCGRCGACTGTAGCAGATGCAGCGCTAGTAAATAATATTATTATTGTATATTCGAATATAATATTATTGGACCGCCCGGCGACAAGTTTTTTTCAGATTCGTTTTCCATCGCCACCGCCGCCGTGTGGTGTCAAAACAAAACGTCGTAATTGGCTGGGTGTCAACGCGAGTCTATAAGCGTATCTTACCTCTACACACCGCCGCCATAACCATCATCGTACATAATATACTACATATACACATAATAATAATATATACATACGCTATTATACTGACGTAAATAATATAATAATAATATTGTTTTGCTCTCCGACGATTTCTGCTGTTCGGCTACTGCTGTGCAAGCGTATAAAACAAAAAATAGTTATTTTTGAACGTAGCCGTCGCGCGTGTCTATTGGCTATTTATTGTGACGCTGATGCAGCGGGCCAGCGGTGGCTGTCGCTTCTATCGGACCAAGGAACAGTAGCGTTTCGGTTTCAGCGGTGTGCGTACCACGACCGCGGTTCGAATTTCGCGTGAACCGAGTGCACGGTATAGTGCAGCGACCGTYCTAGGAAAACCGCGACGGCGCTACGTTAAGGARATCTAAATTATACGGGCAAACGATAGCTGCGATCTGTAAATTATAAATCGGAGATTTTCGTGGTTCGCCCATACTGAATTACTTGATAATATTATTTATATTTATATAATATATCATAAATCATATTTGTGTTCGTATACGACCGTATTTTATTATACACTATACGCGTCGTCATCATAGACTATAACCGCCGACGCGTTTTTCCGCAGGTCAACGCCGTCGCTGCAGCTCAAGTCGATACCTATAYAGTTTAGGTACCTACCTGACCACTGCAGACAGACATAACATCGGCAACGATAGCGCAATGCTAGCGTCCAGAGCCGTAGCGTGTCTGCGCACGTTTTTCGCGGTGGCCGCATTGATCGTGGGCCGTTGCGCCGGCAGGCCAGCGTCTGTCGGAGACGGAATKCCGAACCGCGGCGGCAGCGGTGACAACCAAAAAGATCAGCARCCGCTCCAACACGCCATCATTGAAGTGTCGGCGGGCGATACGGCCGTGCTCCAGTGTCCCAGCAACGATGAACACCACAGGTTTCAGTTCTGGTGGATGAAACCCGACCAGATCATTGGGCCCGGCACCGCGCCCAACAGCGACAAGTTCAAATACGAAGTCCTCACCGGCACGCTTTACATCAAGGTCGGTACTTCGGTAGTGCTATAATTAATATAATTATTTATTTATTTTATTGTATTACCATATTGAGGTATATACGAAACCTATGGTTAAAAGGGAATAGGTAGGTAGGTATAATAGGTACCTACATATCTACATAATATGTCAATTTAGACAATTTTTGATTATGATTTTAATTAAAAAGATGTTCTACGCAGTTTTTATCATCAAACATTTTAACCTTTGTATTTTTTCTTATTACATCTTCAGTAATTTACATGTTTAAAATATAGTACAATTTTATAATTTTAAATTAGATAGGTACTTATCTATAAAAAAATTAAAAATCTATTATAGCTATAGACAATACAGAAATGATAGGTTTTTTTTTTTGATTCCTGAAAACAATAGAAATTTAGACTTATTCGATTTTACGGTCCATTCATGTAATACTATTTTAGGAACATATATCCTAAGTACGTTAGTATGCAAGAAATAAGGATAGTTTCATTAAAATATTGTCGATCGTACCCATCTTGAAAGAACTGTAGATTGATGACCGAGGGATCGTTTACTAGTACCTATATATTTCGTCATCCCACATTTAAAATAGGTAAAATGATTGAAACAATCAATTTTTAATTAGATTATTCAAAACAACTTGAGATCACACRGAAATGATTTTTGTAAACTTGATTTTTTTTTTTTTATCATTTTAATATTAATAAATTTAATTTGTACGAATTGTACKATGCTTAATCTATTCGCTGGAATAGAAAAAGTTTTCTTTATACGATTTTAGGGGGCCTATTAAAATCCAGTGTTGCAGTAGGTACCAGCTCTGGTCTAGCTAGAGGACTTTAATATTGTCGATCTTGAAATTTCACGGTGTAKGTTTAATTGTATACAACTGTAATAATAACATCTAGCAGAGAGCTGTGAAACCTTCATAATTATTCCGATTTCTAATTACTAATTAGATAAATTTGTATACATAATATATTTAGATTGTGTAAATTGTTTACTCAAAACCTTATAGTTTGTTAATTTGTAAAAAAAATAATTTTGCATATTTTTTGCATATTTATGATATGCAACTGCATATTTTATAGATTTTCGTTGCATATAAATCCGGGCCCTACTAATTAGGTTCTTAAAATAATTTATCAGTCAATACCAATATATTCAACAGTTCCTGATAATTAATATTTTTTTTATTTTAGATAGACAATTTAAAAAACCACAAAAAAGTTACAAAATTTCAAATTT